CTGGTTCTGCACAAACACTCCCCCCAGCCCTGCTCTGACTTTGATCCTCCCTTGGTCCGGAGTGGGCTCGGAGGGGCCGTGCTGCCCATGAGGATGAAGCTGACCTGCTGCAGCCCTGGTCCCTGCTCGGGGGATCCAGCCCCGGAGCTCTGCTGGCTGCCCGGGCAGCAGTGACCGGCTGGAGCCAGGCTGGCTGGTCCGGGGGAGCTGCATGGGGCGCGTCAGGCCAGGGTGATGGAGAGGGTGAGACCTGCCCGGGCCAGCAATGCTCCCAAGCCGTGCAATTACCGAGCTCTGTTTGTGCAGACCTGTCTCTGATATCCTCTTCTTCCTCCTTTCAACTCTACTTCTTCTGGGAGAATGAAATTCCCTCAGTACTATGGCTTTCTGTTGGAGTGGATGGTAATTCCCACGTGTTTTCTCTGTGTTTTTGCTGCACATTAGCCCAGATGCTGGCGGGATGTGGTCCACAGCCGGCTGCTCTGTGGTGACGTCTCTCCTGGACTCCACTGCCTGTTTCTGCAACCACACCACGAATTTTGCCGTCCTGCTGCAGGTGCAGGAGATGCAGGTGAGCGAGGAGCCCTTGTGGGGTGGGTGCCAGAGCTACGAGCAGTCTGTGGTTAATTCCTGGGGGTTTTGTGCCTTCTGTTGTTTCCCGACTGGAGCAGAGAACCACCAAGGAGGAGCTCACCCTGCAGACCCTGACTTTCATTGGCTGTGGAGTTTCCTTCTGTGCCCTGATGGTTACCTTCATTTTATTCTTGGCAGTTGGGTAAGAGAAGTCCAGACACTTGTTGCCTTCTCTGTAATTTTTGTTCAATATTTTGCTTCAGAACAAGTGTACAAGCACTTGGTCAGTGTAGGGGGATGCTGGTGTGCAGGGAGGGGTGGGGGCTGCACGGGTGGTCGGTGGCAGAGGGGAGGGAGGGCAGTGAGTGTCCTTGGCTGGGGGGGTGCAGTGCTGGTTGCTTCTGCAGAGGTGCAGAAGATGGAGTAGAGAGATGGCAGGTCACCCAGGCAGGTCTGCACAGCCCAGCAAGGGCGGGGGGAACACGGGCACCCTTCCGTGTGGCTGCAGCTGAGGGCTCCCCCTCTCCCTCCCCAGTGTCCCCAAGAGCGAACGAACCACCGTGCACAAGAACCTCATCTTCGCCCTGGCTGCAGCAGAAGCTCTGCTCATGGTCAGTGGATTGGCCAAGACCAGCCAGGTGAGCTCCGCAGGAAGCGTCCTGTGCAGGCAGCAGGACCAGGGCTGCCTGAGCATTGTTGGAGCAAACAGAGCAGAAGTGTGATCCCTTTTATTGTAATTCCCTGTCACTTGCATTTAGGAAACGGTCGTGTCCCTGGGTTTGGGGATGTACATACATGCACTGTGCAGTCTGTCAGGGAAATTCACCTCCTTTTATGGACGGTTTGTTTCTGACAAAAACATCCTTCAGGAAATTTAAGTAGTTATAAAACAGCAACACGCAGTTCTGTCCCTTTCTGTGTCCTCTGTTCAGGCAGCTCTGAGATGAGAGAGCTGCAAGGGAAGTCCCAGAACTGCAGGAGAAGATGCTCTCAGTCCCTCTCCTGTGGTGTGAGCTGGTTTCTCCTCTCCCCAGGTGCTGTGTTTCCTGGTCACTGCCCTCCTCCATCTCTTCTTCATGGCAGCCTTCTCCTGGATGCTGGTAGAGGGGCTTCTCCTGTGGAGCAAAGTGGTGGCAGTCAACATGAGCGAAGACAGGAGGATGAAGTTCTACTACGTGACGGGCTGGGGTATCTACAGGCTCCTCTGCCTTGGGCACTCAGAAAAATCTGTCGTTTTTTTCTCTAGCAAAAGTTTCAGTAGGAGAGATTCCCAAATGTGTGGTTTGACTACGTGGGCGAGGCGGGTGCGCTGCTCTGCAGAGGCTTTCTCACCTCTGTGTGTCAGATTGCCCGTCTGAGAAGTTAAAAAGCATTTCTGTTATTTTTCTGAAAGACAAGAGTTCAATAGGAAAGAAATGGAGAAGAAAGTTTATGGTAAGGTCTTGTTCTTGGAGAGCATTACTGCTGTCTGCTAACCACCAAAATATAAATCTGGTCCGGACTCAGCACCCTTTATGCTGAGTGAGCCCTCTGGGGACATGAATTCATCTGAAGAAGCTGAGGTCAGCGCTCCTTGCGAAACACACACCTAGCTGGACACTGGACAACTGGTTCAAATATTTGGGATTGTTTTACGTTTTTGTCCATTTTGTTAGAAAGGCAATCTGAGGAGTCAATTGCTTTGACCAGGACTCGGGACTCAGCATGCTCTACACCTGGGAGGGCGATGCTGACAGCCTGTGGATCTGGGCTGTCCAGCCGGGACGGGTTTCAGCTGCAGGGGGTTGATGTTGCTCGGGGGGTTTGGAGGCTGAGCGGGCTCCTGCTGGAGCGCGGCTGCTCACGGGGCTTTCGGAGCAATTGGAGCAGAGCCGACCTGCGTGGGGCATCCCTGCTTCTCCTGGGGTTTAGCTTGTGCTGTTTTTCCGCAGGCCTCCCAGCTGTTATCGTTGGCGTGACCCTTGCAACTTCCTTTAACAAGTACGTGGCAGACAACCACTGCTGGCTGAACGCCCAGACCAACGTCATCTGGGCTTTCGTCGGGCCGGTCCTCTTCATCCTGGCAGTAAGTGCGAAACCCGCTGGGAAGGTGCGATTCCCTCGCGCCTGGTTCGAGGGATGCGTTGCAGGGTCAGGGGTGTCTGCACGGCTCCAGCTGAGGTGCCTGCTCGCAGGGCTCGTTGTGCCTGCTGCTTTTGTACGAGAGATTCTGTTATTCTTTAAATATACTGTCACCACAAAAATAAATCTCTTTAACCAAAGCAGCTTGTTTTGTAGAAAAAAGTGCTTTAAGAAAACGTTGCTGTCCAGTTCTTGCATTGGCTGTTACATTAAGAATATAGGTAGATGTCTAGGTGGACTGTGACACATCCATAATTAAAGTCTGATTTTAAAATAGGAACATCTACATCCTTGATAGTATCGGTGTCGTTAGACAGTGTAGCAGCGCAAAAAGGTGCCGTGTTTCGGGGGTGTGGAGTAGGCACTGAACAGGGAGGGCGTTGTGGAGGAGTTCTGGGATAAGTTTTCACGCTTGTGTGGGTATCCCTATGGGGTACTTTACTCACTGCTTTCTCTGCAGTGAGAAGTTTCTCCCCAAGTTCTGACAGTTGTTGAGTTCCCAGCACCAAAGTCTCACCCCGCTGGAGGTGAGGTTGCAGCAAGCTGCTGGGTCCAGCGGCTCCTCTCTGGCAGGTGAACACCTTCGTGCTGTTCCGCGTGGTGATGGTCACGGTGTCCAGCGCTCGCAGGAGATCGAAGATGCTGACGCCCAACAGCAGCCTAGAGAACCAGATCGGGACACAGATATGGTGAGCGGGGAACTGGCTGGTTTGGGTCAAGGAGCAGCAGTTTGGGTCTGGGCATGGTTGGTGCGAGCGCATCCCCGTCGCCTGCAGTGGTGACGGCGTGTGTGGGCGCGTGGGTCGCTGCAGACCCCCTGCGAGTGTCTGCCCCTTGGCCAACGCCACCCACCGGGCTGGCAGCACGCGGGCATCCTGCAAACTAGCACCCAGGGAAGGGAGGGGGCAGCAGGACCCAACTGGGTGCCCAGTTTCCGTGGAATTTTGTAGAGCTCTGAGCCACAGACGCAGTTCTTCTCCCGTTGCGGTTGGAAGGGGTCGTCACTGAATTTCTCCCGGCTGTCCCATCCTTGTCACTGCTGTGTCCCCCTCCGCAGGATGCCAGCTGCAGGGAGTGCAGGGGTTTGACTAGTTGCCATTATAAAAAGCATTTTCTATGTGAATTTGGGACTTGGTGGGTTGAAAGTAGCGCTGGTGGGGGTAATGGTCATGGGGAAGGAGAGGCAGTGGGGACTCCTGTAATCAGTCAATATAGAGAGACCTCTGAAAAACTGATGCTTGACTCATTACTTTATCATCCCCTGTGAATCTTTATTGTTGTTAGCTGGCGCCGGATACCCCTGCTAGACACGCATTGTTCCCCTCTATCATAAATAAGTTTTCCCAAATTTACAGAAGCGCGAAGATAGGGCATTGCTGGAGGGCAGGGTGACATCCATCTGCGAATAAAACAAATACAGAAACCCTCCTTGTGGCAGCAACTGGGGGGGAAATAGCTGTTTTCTCATGGCTAATGACGTCAAAAAGCTCCTTTCTTGCTGACTCTCTGATAAATGAAGAGCAGGGCTGGCACGCTGGGGGCTGGGAGGTGAAATGTTTGGGTTTTTTCCCCCTAATTTTGTTTGCAAAGGAATCTGCTGCATGGGGACCATCTCGGGTGCCTCTTGGGGGACACATCGTCTGGAAGGCCCTTGCTGGGGGAGCAGAGCTGTGTCCAGCGTGGGGACAAGGAAAGGTTCTTCTAAACTTCAGGATAGAGGCCAGGGTGCTCCTGGACCCGGGGAGCAATTTCCAGGGCACATGTGCTCTGTAACTAACGCAAACGCCCCAGGCAGACCACAGGGAGACCCTGGGCAGGGTTTGCAGAGCCAGGAGAGATGTTTGGCTGGGGCATGTCACCAGGACACCCCGACCTCAGGGATGTGGGGCGCAGCAGGGACCCCCGTGGGGAGCTGGGGGGTGGGAGGTGGGTGCCGGTGCACCCTGGTAACTCCGAGCTCTTCCTCCTGGCAGGGCCACTGCCAAGCCCATCCTGGTGCTGCTGCCAGTGCTGGGGCTGACCTGGGTGTGTGGGGTCCTGGTCCACCTCAGCATCATCTGGGCGTACGTCTTCGTCGTGCTGAACTCCCTCCAGGTGGGTCCTGTGCCAGGGGGTCCTCACATCATGGCCAAGCGGGTGTCTGTGGGTCCTTGTGCTTCGGCTGCTCCGCGTGTCCTCGTAGCCAGGGACATTTCCCAGCGCTGAAGCCCGGCTCTCCCGAGCTGCTGGGCTGTTTTGTCTGAAGAAACTAAGTTCATGCTCCCAAGATCTGAAATGCAGCCCTGGAGACCTTGCTCATCTCCTGGCCCTTCAGCACCAGTCTCTGGAGTCTTACTGGTGCCACAGCTTCCCAGTTCAAATCGTGTTTCTCAGGTTGGATTTTCTGCCATTAGCATGGTTTCAGAACGGCACTTCCAAACTGACAGGCTTGTAGGGAACATCTTCAGAGTTTTGATTTGGTCATTTGATGGCTGATTACAATGGTAACTGTGCTGTTTAATGGGGCAGACATCCCAGCTGCTGTCTGAGCCCCATTTCTACTGGGTAGGGACGGGCCGTGTGTGCCAGCATCACTGTCAGAACGGGGCTGGTCATGGGGAGCGTCTCAAAGGTCACTTCCAGCTGCAGTGTGCTTGGCTGCTGCCCCGATGGTGTGTTCTGGGAGAAGGGATTTCATCTGGTTCATGCTCACACATACTCAGAGGCTGTGTCCTGGGTGCTGGACAGGCAGAACCACCTTCCCTGTACCTGCAAGTCAGCTTTACTGCAGGGAGAGGAGAAGAATTCAGAACCAAGGTCGGACAGTCTTTACCCCTAAAATCTGTGTTGTCTGCAGCCGTGCAGCCGCTCCCCAGGGATGCTCCCAGTGCCTGGTGAGAGGTGCACTGGAGTCTGCTGGGATGCAGGAGTGTTGGGTGGAGCAGGCAGCGGCGTGGGCTGGTGATGGGAGCCTCGCAGGGAGGCTGGCAGTGTGTGTGTGCTGTGTGTAGCTCTGACTTGCAAGACCTTGGGTGAGTCACGTCATCTCCTTCAGCCTCTTCACTCTTCTTTAGGCAGCATCTGGCTGTGTTTGTAAGGCTCTTTGCTTGTCTTGGTGTCTTCTGGGGCCATGGCTGTGACTCCTGAATGCCACCATACCTGAGCTGTGTTGTTGATGTTTGTGTTAACAGGGATCACTGCAGGACAGAAAGTGACCCTGGTGTGTAAAGCAATGCTTCATGTTTGCTTCTGAGTTTGCTGGTTTCATCAAGAGAGTTTAAAACCTTAACCAGCCCGCATGCGGCTAAGAGAGCAAAGCAAACGCTGTTAGCTGAGCAGGGAGGAGTGCTCCGCTCTGCACTGAGGCGGGACAGTTCCCAGCACCTCAGGATATCTGAAACTCAGGGACACAGGGTGACAAAAAGTCCCAGAACGTGTGCTTGCCACCTGCGATTCACAGCATCAGCCCCTTGCTGGCAGAAGCTTTCCCGGCCTGGAGAGAAAGCGGCTGTAGATGGAGCCAGAGAAGCACTGACCACCGCTCCCGATGTGCAGAACAGTCCCAGGGCCAGCGCTGGAGCTGGGGCGGCTGCTGGAGGATGGTCCCAAACCCTCCCAACCACCGGGGTCCAAAGAGTTCCCCACCCCATCTCCCTTTTCCCTTTGGATTCAGGCGCTGGCTCCCGCTGTAGCTCTGCCTTGCGGAGCAGGGAGCTTGCGGTGCTTCCCTCTGGCACACTTGGCAGGTCCCAGCGCAGCGTTCCCCGGCTCTCCGGGGTGATCCGCCGGCGTTATCACCACGTGCACGGGACGGGTGGCTGCTCCAGGGATGTTCAGCCTGTGGCTGGCGGTCCAGCAGCCGGGCGCTGCTCACGCACATCCGTCGGCGCTCGGGTGGGGATGTTCCAAGGGCAGGCAAGGGCTGTCTCTCCGCATCTCCGCTACAAAGGATTTCAGAAGGGTGGCAGGAGCCCGTCCCAGCTGTAAATATAGCCTTGTTCTCCTGGGCTCCTCTGCCATGCTTCGGTTATGGAGCAGAAGAGAACCCCAGGCTCAGGGCTGGGAAGGGATGAGGTGAGCAGGGCTGAGCAGCACCAGAACATCGTCATCCACAGAAAAAAAAGACATTTCTCAGCTCAGGTGAACTTCAGCAACACCAGCAGAGAGGCGGGGC